GGGGGGGGGGACTGCTTGGGTTTTTTTCAGTGCTTGACATTAAAGCTGATACTGAGGAGAAGTTAGCAATCTCGAATTCACAACAATCCCCCTCCCCCTCACATCTGGGCAAAAAACCCGGCGCCACGACACTTGTGGCTCAAGCTCGAATCTGAAAACGGATGATACCTGGTGAATATTGCCCCTCCCGAAACGACGCACGTCCAGGTTGTCACATTCCCTCCCCGCCACCCTTCCCCCTTCCTTCTCCCTCCCGGTCACTGCAACGCATCGCTCGGACCGGGTTCATGGCTGGGTTGCGAAACACTGTGATTTAGCTCTGCTGCTGGTGAGGATGCATGGCTCGCTGGTGGCGTGGTGGTGGGTCGGTTGAGGTGGTAGATGGGGGAAGGGGACGGGGAGGGAGGTAACTTGGGTAGGAGCACTGGTCGTAGTCGAGGACTGAGTGCTGTGTTGAGCAGTGGAGTGGTGCAAAACAATACGGGCCCTGCTGATTTGATGCAGGAGTGCCCCAATCCCAGATTTACAGTTTTTCCATAACTGTCAAAATTCGATTGTGTTCCTCTCCGCGATGCGCCAACAACGCCAAACAAACTGCGTATGTGCTAACACATAGAAGGCTTCAGGCCCCCGTCCTCTAGCCAGAGAGTTTCATTGTTTGCATCTTTAAAATTCCTGAAACACCTGAGATGGGGGGATATTTCAAATGCAGATTTTATGCCGGGGGCAACGCGAGTTCTTTGATTGTTCCCTGAGAGATGGATTGGATGCGCAGGGGCTTAATATGCTGGTTCCAATGGATGGAGGCCGAATACTCGAAATCCTACACCTCTCCCCCACCCTCACCCCGGCCTGGCTTTATCACATATCCGACCTGTCACTCAATTCTGAAAAAGTCTTTTATTTGTGGATTTTTGCTGCCGTTACTGATTTGCCTTCCTGCTCCACTAATGTTTGTTTTGTTGGGCTTCGCGATGTTGTACACACCACCATCATCATCTTGTACACGTACGTGGAACTTTTTTTACACGTACGTGAAATTTTTTTTTGTTTTGGCTTCTCCATGGTTCATCATGTTACCCAGCGCAAGGCATCATCGGCATAATTCGCGCTGATTTTCTTTTTTTTTGGCTTCGATCATCCCCGGGTCCCAGTTGGTTTGTTGCTGTGAAAAAAAAGAAGAATTTCGTGAAAAATTCTGCAGTCCCTCCTCTGTGCTGCTTTAACAATACGGCTACAGCACGGATCGATTGCGTCGTGACCTTATCGGCTTGTGTAATAACCGGCAAAAAAAAACACTGTAGGTTTTTTTTTTGCTTTTTTTTGCAGGATGTGGTTGCCACGATTGATGCGTGCAGCGAACGAAGAGCAGGAAATTCGTGCCGCTGCGCTTGGATGTATGTCTCTCTCTTTTTTTTTTCAACTTCATTATTTGGGGCACTTTGAAAAAATTTTCTGTTCGAGTGATGGCAGCGTAAATTTTGACTCTCCTTGTAAGCATACGGTCCCTTTAAATACCCCCCATTCTTCATTATAAACTATTTTAAGCCACAGGATAAAGAAAATCTTTAAAAAAATGCTTTCAAAACATTTAAATTAATCTAAAATTTCTCATCGAAAAATTTTGCAATTGTTTATATTTATACGAAAAATCCGAAACTTTTCAAATAAAACTACCAAATAGTCGGACAGTCCTCCTTTCCCTCGATTTTTTTTTGGAAATTGTTCAGCTTCACGGCGGTTTACTTTTGCCTGACGAAGGGCAATCACGTACCCTTTTTTTTGGGAGGGGTAATCCTCAAGCGACTTGGGTTGCGTAAAAGCAATCCCGCTCCTCACCGGACACACGGTTGGTCAGATGAGGTGACCGCTTTTCTTACCACCGACTCGTTCATCCCGCCACTTCTTACCGTTCTTTCGTTATGCTTCCTGAAGCCAAGGAAACCGAAACCTACAGAATGTTTTTGCGTTGATTACAAGCAAGAGAAAGTGAGATTTTTGCAGGCTATTGGGTTTTCTTTTTGCCAAAAAAGTAGATTGTTCGGATTGTTGAATGAAATCTTTCGGCGCTTTCATCTTCCAGCATTTGATTATTCCGGTGCTTTTTTTCCAGTACCTGAACGTTCTGGGCAAAATCTACTGGGACCAATGGTCACATGCAACTGTGGACATCTGGCATCCTGTCGACGAGCAACCCCGCTGCTCTGTTCTCGTGGTGAGAGGACCGCAACAACAACCCAGGCACTAAAGCATCGCTTCACTCTCGTCAAATGGTGCTGCTTCGCGTTCCTTCTGCTCATCTTCGCCCTCATTGGTACTCGATGTTTTCACTTATTTTTGGTTTTACTACCTCACTTTTAGCTGCTTTGAAATGAAACGCTCGATCTCTTGACAATTTCACCTTCTTCGGCGGCCCTACTTGGACCGTCCAGTGTTGGTTTGGCCTTCTGTGACCCTTCTATTCTAAAGCGAGCACATGCGGAATTATCCCCACCGGCGCACGGCAAACAATTGATGTTATCAGATAACTGCGCAAAAAAATCTTTATCTCATGCCGCCCCGCTTCCTGCAATATCTGTAGTAGGAAAGGTAGAAAAGACTGTGAAGAGCCAACCAAGAAGTAATCATTTCAAATAGGAATGACTGGGTTGTGCTAGACAGGAGTTGGTAATGAGAACCTCAGTACCATGAGTGATGACAGTGTAAAATATTCAGGTCAAAAACTTCTTATGAAATCGTAAAAATCTGGAGCTGTAAGCTTGCGCTCTGAGGCGTTTTAATACAGTTTTTCTGTTTTTAAGAGACGTGAAATAGGCAAAAACGGGCATAGTTGTTTGTTTTTTTGCACAGATGCTTCGGATGAGTTCGATCTAAGCTTACTGTTCGCTTTCTTTGCTTACTAATCCCAATGGGAGGTAATGTTAAACACATCATATAGAGCGATTGAGGGAACTGCAACTTTATTCCTTTTGAAACCTCATAGCCGGAATGCATCCAACATCCCTCAATCGTCAAGGTTTCTCCGAGTCCTCTCTGTGACTGTTACATGTGTTTTTCCTTATTTCTATTGTTTTGATTGTTTACGCTATAATTATTGGCGTGGTGTTGCATTGACATGGCGCTGCGACCACACGTAGGTACGACCACGTAACATATAGACCTTCGCCGCCTCCTGTTACGCACCCGATTTGGCGAAATTTTTCGTTTCGTACAGTGACGTGTTATGTTGCAGTGTTCTCGGGACTTCTGACGTCGGCATCGAGCGAATTGAGCCTGGACAGCTCGTTTCTGTTTCTGGCGATCATCTCCATGATCCTGGTGCTGTTCGCCGGTCTGTGCTGCTTACGTGCACGTGCAATCTGTAGGAATCGTGCTGCCCGCCATGGATCAGCGTATTGTCGCCGTGTTCACAGCAATCATCCACGTTCATTCCGAATTCCAGCTTCATTTTTTGCGCATACTGTACATACACGACCACATATCCATCCATCGCCAAGCTCATTTCGTTTCTCCGAATCCTCTCTGTAAGTATTACATGTGTTTTTTCCTCATTTCTATTATTTTATTAGCAAAAATTCTTATTTTTATTTTTAAAAAATGCCCAAGAAGCTCTATTTTTGCGTAATTTTTACATGCTCAAACTGTTCTTATTTTCATTGTTGATCGTTTTCGATTTCAGTCTGGGCAGTGAGAACCGTTCCTGCACTGCCAAATAGGGCTAGCCAGTTTTTTTAGCCAGCAGGTATTACTTATTGATATGTAAGCTGACTTTTTTTAATGGTTCGCTAGCAGATTTTCATAATTCACAAGCTAAGCTAATTGTAGTGTGATTGTAGCGTGCAAGTGGATGTTAGGAGCCTAGGGAGGCTAGGCATGGAGCGAACTAAATGTGAATGGATGTAGAAGTAGAGTTAGTGTGAATGAACTAAGTATGAATGAGTTAAGACGTTTCGATCCATCAAGTCATATACGTCTTTGCTCAAAACCACGTCTGAACCACATCAGTGTGACGGTCATGGTGTTCAGGGATAAGAAAAGGAATGAAAGGGAAGAAGATAGAAAAGGGGAGTTTTTACAATTATATTAAGTGTAAAATAGTTGGAAAAGGATAAAAAAAGTAGTAATATAAGAAGAAAAGGTGGGGCCTCGATAAATGTCTGTGGCCTAATTTTGTTAACATGCAAATCTAATCACTGTCTTCACAATGCAAAACCTTAAGGCTCGATTAATGGTCCTTGCTGATGCGGCTTTTTTTGCGCGCCAAGGCACGGTTTTGTCACTTACAAACCTAATTCCATCAAATTGCTTAGACTTTTTTTTATGAAGAGAGGAAAGGGGAAGGGTGGCGAGGGGAAATGAAGCAGGAATGAAGCACTTTACGGGCAATTTTTTCGCTGTTATCAGGCTAATAGTAGTTGTTTGGAGGACTCTCAGTATCTGAGATATTTGTCGGCTTACCACAAAGCTCTTTTGCTCTTTGTGATTATCAAAATGAACGTGATGAACTGAAACTGCAGTATAATTCTTTATGTTTAAGTAAAAAAGCGAGAAATTACAGGTAAGAGATCGAGCCATCGCAAGGCATGCAGTTGCTAGCGTAATTTTTTTCTTACTCTTAATTCTTCCTAGTAACAGTTACAGTAATTGATTATTTGTAGTCTACATTTTCAATAAAAAGCCTTTTTATTCAGTGAATGGTTTTTAGAAAGGGGAAAACGGGTGTGGGAAGGGAGGAGAAGGAGGGGGGAAAGAATGTGCAGTCCTCCGAAAGAAAAAGACAGCGGAGGGGGGGGGGG